AAGGAATTTCTCTAAAGAGAATCAGAGAAGCATCAAAAAAAAATAACTATATACACAGTACCTCCAAAACAAGGGGATGTTATGTAATCATTAAAATATAAATTTATTGACAAGGAAAATAGCCATATATTTGAGCAGCATAAAAGACTGTTACAGCTGCATGCTATTTGTTATTCCATTTAAGTAAAATTTTTGTGTAAAATTACTGGTATCATGGCATACTCTGAACGTCAGCTAATTTTTTTTTTTTTTTAAAGATTCTATTTACCTGACAGAGAGAGACACAGCGAGAGAGGGAACACAAGCAGGGGGAGTGGGAGAGGGAGAAGCAGACTCCCAGTGGAGCAGGGAGCCCGATGTGGGGCTCGATCCCAGGACCCCAGGATCACAACCTGAGCTGAAGGCAGACACTTAACGACTGAGCCACCCAGGCACCCCTGAACATCAGCTAATTTAACACCTATTCCTCCTTTCCCTTAGTCCATCTATATTAGTTCTCAGCCTCCTTTACAGCTAGAGGAGGCTATGCAGACACTATTATGGCTTTTGAGACCTAAGTAGAAATTTCCTAAGAATATTATAGAAACACGCCTTTCTGATAAAAGTTATACTTGTTGCTATAGCTACCTCTTTCCCCTACCTCTTGCCTTGTAGTCAGGTATGATGACTGAATCTGAAGCAGTTTATTGTCATGTGCCAACCAACACACTAGAGAAGGCACAGTGCAAAGAAAGAAAAAAGCAGGGGTGCCTGGGTGGCTCAGTCGTTAAGCGTCTGCCTTTGGCTCAGGTCAGGATCCCAGGGTCCTGGGATCGAGCCCTGCATTGGGCCTCACTGCTCACTGGGAAGCCTGCTTCTTCCTCTCCCACTCCCCTTGCTTGTGTTCCCTCTCTCGCAGTCTCTCTCTCAAATAAAATCTTTTAAAGGAAGGAAGGAAGAAAAAAGCTGGGTCTCTGGTAATATTCATAAACCACTACATCAGCTTCTACTGCCCACTTATCCCCCCTCGCTTTATGGGGGGATATATATATATATATATAATGTACTTTATATATATATAGTATAAATATTACTTAGTGCTTAAGTAACATTTAGCCAAAACCACCCCAGATGGTTATTTATTATATACATAAGTAAATATATAGCCATTAAGCATATTAAAGCTTTTTATAATTATATTCTCTAAAGGCAAGGATTTGGGGTACTAGATACCTCCATTCAAATATCGTTGATAGAGTTAATTGATAGGGCCCTTTAGTTAGTCAGTTTGACATTATATTTCAAAAGCTTTAAAAATATTCTTATCCTTTGTTTGACTCTGTAATTCCACTTTTAGATATTCATCAAAGAAATAATAATAAATTTGAAGGAGTACTGCTACAATATATTTATAATATTAATAAACTGAAAACAACATGTCAAAAACATAATGCTGGCCAAATGATTTTATAGTATGGATTTATGATAGGATATTATGCAATCCTTAAAATCATGTAATAAAAATATCTAATTATATAGAAAAATACTTCACAGCATTATGCAAAGTAAAATCCTTTGGGGATAATGAAAGATATTTTTATAAAGATTAGGGAAATGCGACTTCAAGCTATATTACAAAGCTGTGATCACCAAGACAGCATGGTTCTGGCACAAAAACAGACATATAGACCAGTGGAACAGAATAGAGAACCCAGATATGGACCCTCAACTCTATGGTCAAATAATCTTTGACAAAGCAGGAAAAAGTATGCAATGGAAAAAAGACAGTCTCTTCAATAAATGGTGCTGGGAAAATTGGACAGCTATATACAGAAGAATGAAACTCGACCATTCTCTTATACCATACACAAAGATAAACTCAAAATGGATTAAAGACCTCAATGTGAGACAGGAATCCATCAAAATCCTAGAGGAGAACATAGGCAGTAACCTCTTTGACATTGGCCACAGCAACTTCTTTCAAGATACATCTCCAAAAGCTAGTGAAACAAAAGCAAAAATGAACTTTTGGGACTTCATCAAGATAAAAAGCTTCTGCACAGCAAAGGAAACAGTCAACAAAACAAAGAGGCAACGCACAGAATGGGAGAAGATATTTGCAAATGACACTACAGACAAAGCACCAATTTCCAAGATCTATAAAGAACTTCTCAAACTCAACACCCAAAAAATAAATAATCAAGTCAAAAAATGGGAAGAAGACATGAAAAGACACCTCTCAAATGAAGACATACAAATGGCTAACAGACACATGAAAAAATGTTCATCATCATTAGCCATCAGGGAAATTCAAATCAAAACCACACTGAGATACCACCTGGTTGTGGAGAAAGGGGAACCCTCTTACACTGTTGGTGGGAATGCAAGTTGGTACAGCCACTTTGGAAAACAGTGTGGAGGTGCTTCAAAAAATTAAAATAGAGCTACCCTATGACCCAGAAATTGCACTACTGGGTATTTACCCCAATGACACAGATGTAGTGAAAAGAAGGGCCATATGCACCCCAATGTTCATAGCAGCAATGTCCACAATAGCCAAACTATGGAAAGAGCTGAGATGCCCTTCAACAGACAAATGGATAAAGAAGATGTGGTGCATATATACAATGGAATATTACTCAGCCATCAGAAAGGATGAATACCCAACTTTGCCTCAACATGGATGGGACTGGAGGAGATTATGCTAAGTGAAATAAGTCAAGCAGAGAAAGTCAATTATCATATAGTTTCACTTATTTGTGTAACATAGAGAACAGCATAGAGGACATTAGGAGAAGGAAGGGAAAAATGAAGGGGGTCACATCGGAGGGGGAGACGAACCATGAGAGACTATGGACTCCCAAGAAACCAACTGAGGGTTTTAGGGGGGAAGGGGGGTGGGGGGATGGGTTAGCCCAGTGATGGGTATTAAGGAGGGCATGTATTGCATGGAGCACTGGGCGTTATATGCAAACAATGAATCATGGATCACTACATCAAAAACTAATGATGATAGTTTTTTAGTATGGTGACTAACATGACATAATTAAAAAAAAAAAGATTAGGGAAATGTCATGAAACATAAGTAGACATTGCTGGATGGTGGAATTACCAGTAATTTTTGTTTTCCTCCTTTTGGTTGTCCATTTCTAAATTTCACATTTCTTTTGTAATGAGAAAAACTAAAGTTATTGTAAATAGACCTATATTTGTTCAGAACAAACAACTGAAATAAACAAATAGGAAGAGATGTAGATTAAATCTAGTTTTATTTCTTCTCTATGAAGCTCATTAATTTGTTTACTTCAGCTAAAAAACAGATTCGCAATAGCAAATTTATCTGACATCAACATAGAAAGCCTTATACATACCAAGAGTAAAAAGCACTCTCAAGAAGTAAAAAGTGAAAAAGTAACAAGAGTACTTATTTTAAATAATTACAGGATTCCATCATGTCCAATATGAATGCACATCCAACAACTCCAAAAGAGAACATGCCAAATCATATACATTGGATATGGGGGAAAATTTTTTTAAATTTGTCATTGAGTCCCATTTCTAGAGTAAGTAAGAAGCAAAAATATGCTGATAAGCCTAAGATAACCTGTGACATAAAAACAATTGAGCCTAAAATCAGGAGGAAAATGGATGAGTTATCTAAGCTTTCCTTAGTTCTTCCTATCTAATCCGTATCTTACAGAGATTACCTCTCTGGTTAAAAGCATCCATTTTTATTCAATCTCTGTTGGTTTTCATCCACCTATAGTAAAAATCACCCACTCAGAAGCCAGGGTCTTAAACATTTTTCAAAGACACCAATAAATTCAGTGTGCAGCATGCCATTTCCAACTATATTCCCAGGAGAGTATAGGAGACCCAAGGAACTAATACATTTGTATAAGATGTTGTAAGGATAGTGACTCTTTCCACCTTTTTTATAACCCAAATGTGTTATAAGAAAATTGAGAAGAAAGAGAAGGGAAGGGAAAAGGAGAAAGAAACCAAACAGTATAAAACTATTTGCTAACAAAGTGTGTGTGTGTGTGTGTGTGTGTGTGTGTGTGTCCAAACTCAATTCAAACTAAAGAATAGAATAATTTAACAAAGAGTATTTAATTTTGGAGATTTTTCATTGAGTTAGATATAAATAAAGCTTTTTAAACACTTCAAATTAATGAAAAATAAATTTTAAGTACTTTAAGTAATTAATAACACAAAAGTTGACTTACCATAAATTTCTAAACCTTGTGGAAAATACTCTTTGTATTCTAAATCCTATCCACTAATGCCTGGGTCCCCGAGGATGCATATCATAGTCAACAGTGCCAATTTTTAATAAGGGATTTGAAAAGGTTGATTTAATTCCCAGATTTTTTTTTTTAATTCCTCCCCATCACCAGGATTAGAAACCCTGGTTACTGAAGATGTTTTATCCAATCAACATCTCTCTCTTTTCTAAGCTACTCAGAAAGAAAAACTGATACCTGGAGAAAGTCACACCTTCACAAATTACCCCAAATTCACTGTGATATTCAAGCTTTATATAAGAAGCCTCTTTCAAAGGATCAGAACCAGAGAATTGAACAATCGCCCCCTCCAGCTGCTGGAGAAAGCAAAACCACAAAGAGCATCTACTTATGAGATTACTTTTTAGGGGCATAGAATATACTTTAAAAAGGTACATAGCCAAAAACCTACAATAAAGATGAATAATAAATATTTACATTCCAAGCCAAAAAATTCCAGTCTAAAAAGAAACATTTGATGTTTTCATTTCTGAATACTGAAGCAAAATGATTATAATAATTTTAATCAAACTTAAAAGGTACACCTTATTACCTTGTTCATATAAGCTATTTGTCTTTGAACAGGCAAACAAGAGAGAAAAATCTTTGAGGCATTTTTATATTCTGACTTAACAATTATCTGATAATTACCCTATCATTACCTGCTGATGAAGGATTCCATTCTGAATTCTTAACATTTCTGATGTTACAGGCATGTTACTTCAAAAGTCCTACCTGGAAAGAGACTGAGAAGACTAACTGGAGATTTGTTGGTATCAATAGTCAGTTTGTGGCTTGCAGTTTTTGAAGGCTGACCTGGTAGACAGATTAATTTCAGGGGAAGTCTAAATTTACATTGGATAACCCGAGGAATGCCTGAAATAAAAAGAGAGAAATGTAGATTCATAGACTTGACAGAAAATTTGACCCCAAAAAATTTGAACTATATTAATAGTTTGAGTAGCAATATATCTTATTTTAAAATTTTGCTCCGGCCCATTTCATTTAGCATAACTGAAAAAACTACAAAGTATTATCATAATACAAATTTTTATATTATTGTCAAAAAGTTCAAGACAAAAATAAGATCCTAAAAAAGAGCGTAGGCATGACGTCTGCCTTTAATATAAGATCATACTTTAAAAAACATCACAGGTGAACACTATACAACACGGTATATTTACTCAGAGAGGGAGACAAACCATAAGAGACTCTTAATCATAGGAAACAGACTGAGCGTTGCTGGAGGGGAGGGGGCTGGAGATGGGGTAACTGGGTGATGGACATTAAGGAGAACACGTGATGTAATGAGCACTGGGTACTACACAAGACTGATGAATCACTGAACTCTACCTCTGAAACTAATAATATACTATATGTTAATTAATTGAATTTAAATTAAAAAAATTTTAAAAGAAGGCAAAAAAAAAAAACCCAGTTAATTCAATTTTATATTCAATTACTGAACCATCTTTAAACTAAGATCTTCAAATCTCTAGCCCCTAAAATGAGCAAATATGTATATGAAATCTGTATCAGGAAGATGCTATATGACCTTATCTAATATTTTTTCTACCACCAAAAAATTTAAATCTTTAGCTATTTTTACTTATTGAAGATTCAAATTACAATTAAAAATCTACAATAAATTATAAGCATGAAGGCAGAATTTGCTCTACTGTAGTTCTACTTAAGTTCATGTCATTTTACACAGTAATATTAAGAATATTACTTTCATATGAATTAAATTTTTCTCAATCCATTTAACTTTACATATCACTGATAAGTGACATTTTGAAAGTATTACATGGTCATTCAACTGAATTTTTCAGTACATTTACAGGCATATTGAAAAACGTAACTAAATAAATAACAATGAAGAGTTTTATGTCAAAATTAAAAGTTTTTAAGATCATTCCTTTCAGGGGCGCCTGGATGGCTCACTCGTTAAGCATATGCCTTCAACTCAGGTCATGATCCCAGGGTCCTGGGATCAAGCCCCACATCTGGCTCCCTGCTCGGCGGGAAGCCTGCCTGCTTCTCCCTCTCCCACTCCCCCTGCTTGTGTTCCCTCTCTCGCTGTCTCTCTCTGTGTCAAATAAATAAAATCTTAAAAAAAAAAAAATTCCTTTCAATATTTTTACAGAGAATGAAATTGAAACCAAAGCAAATTAGGTTCTCTACTTATAAATCTAGCAAAGCCATTCTACAACTTCAGTGTTCTCTTTTATTCTAGGATTCCACCTTTGATTAGATAAGATAAAAGGTAATATACTGAAACCTCTATCTTAGTATATTGCTGTAGAGAAATGAAAAACTTAAAATGTCCTACTCTACTTGATGTAGCCACACATTAATTCCTTTATCTCTTTATAGTGGAGTCAGTGAGCAGCCTAAAAATAGCAAAAGCAGAAGCAGTTAAAGCTTGGGGACATGATCCCAAAGCAGGATCCCTAGAATTAGCGATATATTCTGTTAATGCCAATTGGAGTTGTAGGGCTTGCTCGACATCCAAGCTGGTAGTACACTTTCCAGCACTATTTATTCACGAGGATAGTGAGAGATCTCAACAATGGCAAGCATACTGATATATGAGGTCAATTAAATACTTTTTCAGAGCATGTGGAGCATATTTGTGATTCTCTTCAACATAATCTATTATCCATTAAATTTTACATAGCTCATTTTTTGCTGATAACCAACAGATGTTAAATTCACTTCTCCTGGAATCCTAGATGCAAATTATAACTGGTGTCTCTTCAGAAAAGTCCCAAGGCATTATTTCCTGACATTCTCTGAGGTTTTAAAGGCATGTGTATTTGTACTTTACAATGATGAAATGTTCTGTCTCAAAATATTATGGTAACATGATCTAAGCTACTGTTCAAACCACAACCATCAATATCACCATAAAAATATTACAAAGCATTATTTTTTCCAACTTCATATATTCCATATAACCCTAAATTATGGAAATATACCTACTAATATGTTTCCTCTACAATATATAAATTACAGCCTCAATTAATAGATGCAGCCTGGAAAGAACAAAGACACTAAAACCTATTTCCATTTCCTTCATTTTTAATGAATGTAGTAATGGAAAAAAATCCTTCATCTTTTGACAATTCTGTACAGGCACGAAGAGAAGCTACCTTTCTATATACTTTCACCCAAAGTCTGAGCTAAGTGTTCAAACAAAATTTGACTATAAATGTCCTTCTAAAACTATACTGCTAAAACTGTGGCTCTACTTCACTTGGATCAGATAGATACTACTTGAGTTGGTGGTAAAAAAAAAAAAAAATTAATCACAATCAGTAACACTGGCCTTATGTTACTGAGTCTATATATTTGAAGATTATTACCCTAAATTTCCAAGAACCTAGAGCTAAAGAAACTGGTCATATATATATGTTTTCAGAAATTGAAACAAATGGCTTGCAAGCACTAATGAACCCAAGAAGGGAAATACATTATAACTCAATTCACAACTCAAGTTAGTTAATGACAGTATCACACACTAGGGCAATGGTCTGCAGTTGCTAAGATTTGTAGAAACCCTCCAGAATTGCTTTTCTCTCCAAGAACTGTAAACCTGTTTCATAGGACATTTGGAAAACATTATTTTGAAAAATGATGACACTCATACTTAATAAAATGATTATGGCTATTCTTTAAATGCTGGCAGCTTGAAAAGTTTTACCACAGGCAGGGGGCGGGAGGTAGAAAATGAAATCCTTCAGAAACCAGTTTAAGGAAACCATATCTTTAAAAAGAAAAATTGTAATGCCAGTATTTAACACTACTTTCCATTAAATTAAAACCCCAGTCTTTTAAAATACAATCTCCAGTATTTAGACATGGGGTTTATCAGAGGCACACTTCTATTGAGCTTTACACTTTCTTGAAAAACCTGAAATGAAAATTTGGCTAACAATTTACTCTTCAGGTTGTGATTGCATCTAAGAACCTGAAGCCAGAGGTATAGAGGTATGTGTGAATGCATGCATATATGTACCTATAATAAGGAAAGAATTGCATGTATTTAAAGACTTTTCAAATTTGCTCCTAGAATAGCTTTTGACTTTGATGAAAGTCTAATTGGTCCTAACTTTGCCTACCATCAGTGATATTTTCTCTATGTAGTTGGAAAAACAGTCTCTGTATCTGGCTTATTCAAATAACTCTCTGTTAGGCTGAGAAAAAAAAAATTGGTCATTTACAATACTCAAATATTGGCCTACTCGTTCATCAGAATGATTTTGTTCTGCAGTTTTTTACCAAATATAATCACCTCTCCTTCAGACACTTCCCTTTCTAGCCTAACAGAGGAAATGGATAGTCGCAACTACTCTGGTGCAATTAATCACAAAATTATTTAACACTTAGAGAGAAAATTCACATCAAATCCACTCTTGACAGAACAATTTCTCCAGGAAGAGAATTCTAATTACACCTGGCACACCCAAGAGCCCAGTATCACTGTCAAGAGAGAAGCCAAATGTGCTTTGGGGGGGGAGAAAAAAAAGGAAAAAAGAACATATATATCAGAGTAGAATAACTATATATATTACACATCTATATAATGCCTTCAGAACTCTTTCCAGGGGCCTGCTAGAGTCATTTCATTTTTAAAACAAGGAACCCCAAAGCAGTAGCAATGTCTGGGAGCCAGAACTTCCTTGATCCCTTCCTGTTATGTCTGGCTACGTACTGTGCCCCTCTGCAGTCATGTTTTACACTGCCCATGTCATGTAACTTTAATGCAGACATAATGGAGACTAACTCTTATGGGACAACATAAAACCTCCTTTGCTTCTCTTTTTCCACATGTAAAAGCAGGACTGCTTATCTGCAAAGAGCCTGAACAGATCAGGCCAATAAAATGGACCAGTCTTTGAAATTTGAAGCCTTGTGTGTAAGTTAAGATCTAAGTAGCAACATATTATTTAATCTTGCCAACTAGGTGAAGCTGAATATTGTAACCCTACTCCGTAAAGCTTAATTATAATTTAAAAATATATCATAAGAGATTATTAGCTTTGTATTGAAATACTAAAATTTCCATGTATTGTGATTTTTTTTTTCTCATGGTTTGGGCTGAATTTACAGTAAGAGGGAGTAAATTCCTTTCAATAATAACCTTTGCCAGTTTTTTAAAGTTAAAATAAATCATTTAAATAATATGGTATTTTATAAAAGTTAGTATAAAATCTTACTAGCTAGATCCAATCTTGCCAAGTAAAATGTAAATATTCATTGTTAATAATCAGTTATTTTTAATAACCCAAAATCCTAATTTGACAAGTATATTTCATGTTATTAAGCTAAACACTTACTCCTATTAAAATGTTTCTCATATAAATATATTTTCACTTCCCAGATACAATGCAACTCAAGTTGTTGGCATTACCAAAACTGTATGAGTAAATTACTGCCATTATTTTTTAAGTATTTCTTTATTACTAATTAATATTGCTATCTAATATTTATCTTAAAATATCTAATAAACTGAGATAAACCACCACAGTAAGTCTGTGTCTAGAAAGAAAAATAGTCAAAGTAGGATATACTCTAAGTGCCTGTCATCTACCCTGACATCGCACAATTCAAAGATGAGTACTTAAACCCTGCTCTGGAGGAGCCCAAAATCTACTAGGGAAACCTAAGGAACAAACTTAATGAAATTCATATTATGATTGGTATTGCAGCAGAGTCATACATAAAGGATTTGGGGAAAACAAAACAGGTAACAATCAACATTAGCCCAGGTAAGTTCAAGGGGTCAGAACCTTGATGACATTGCCCCACAAATTCTAAACAAGATAGGAAATAGGCCCACACTGGGCGCCTGGGTGGCTCAGTTGGTTAAGCGACTGCCTTCGGCTCAGGTCATGATCCTGGAGTCCCTGGATCGAGTCCCGCATCAGGCTTCCTGCTCGGCAGGGAGTCTGCTTCTTCCTCTGACCCTCTTCCCTCTCGTGCTCTCTGTCTCTCATTCTCTCTCAGATAAATAAATA